AGTGAGAGGCCTATAAACTTATTAGAAATTATTTAACCATACACTTACAAAGGGTAAATTGTGCGGTATATACCTTCACAGAGCTGTAAGAAAACGGATAAGGCATTAGCATGAACAACTCTACGTACATGAAATTGACAACTTAGATGAAATTGACATAGTCCTTCAAAGGTACAAACTACCAAAGCTTACTCAAGAAGAACCAGACAAACTGAATAGCAATATGTCTATTAAAGAAACTGAATTTGTAGTTTAACAATTTTTCCAGAAAGAAACCTGCAGGTACAAACAATTACAGGCAAAATCTTACCAATTTTACACAAACAGTTCCAGGAAATAGAAGTGAGAACTCTCCAACACATCCTGTGTGGTCACGTGGCCATCATCGTCCTAATACCAAACCCAGGCCAAGGCAGTATCAGAAAACTATAGGCTAATATTCCTTATGAACACACAAATAATTTTAACAAAATTTTAGCACATTCAATCCAAACAATACATCATGATCAGTGGGGTTTATTCCAGGAATGCAATGGTCAGCTTAACTTTTACAAAGTCCATCACCGTAATTCACCATATTAACACACTGAAGAAGAAAAGCCTTATGATCAATGCAATGGATGCTGAAAACAAAATTATAAATTCAAATCCATTCTTGATCAAAATTCTACGCAGGCTGACCAGCAAAAACTACAGAAAAAGGACCTTTGAAAATCTCATCTTCCATAAAAACAATGATAATATTGGCAAAAATTGTCAGAACCAACTTTTTCAGAATTCTGGAAATTAAAGACTTGCAGCAACATAGGGATCATTTATTCAAGATAAATGGATGACTCTCTGTAAGAACAGCAATTTGGGGGTTTTAGTTTACCCAATCCTTCCTCCCCAGCTCGGTGGTAGACTTGAAAATCAACAGCCTCCATCACAGTGGAAACCAGCAGCATGACAGCCACTAGTGGGGGAAAGCCCCATTTCTGGAAAATGTCACTATTTGACCTGTTTTGTGGTTCCTTAGAAGACCCCACTTGCACAGCTATCTTTATTTGACCTGACTCAGAGCTTGTGCAGTGGGAATAGTATTTTCTCACAGGGCATTTGTCCAATCAGAAGTACTTATTTACCATCACAGCTACTTGACATGGAAGATAACAGGGCAAACAACAGGCTAACCAAAATGCTTAAAAAGCAAAAATGAACAATGAGATCTCCACTGTAGGGCTCTGAAAAGTTGTGACATGTTCCTGAGACTCTAGGAGGCCCTGCACATGTGCAGGGCAGTATTCCCACTAAGGAAAGACCTTAAGTGCTCATATCTAGCTAACTTTCAGTCTCTGTAAGCAGGAAGTGGAAGCAAAGAAGGCAGAGTAGCAAACTGGCTGAATGTTGAAGACACGTCCTGACACACACTGAGTCCCTCAGCGAAGACTAGGAGACTTACTGGTTCCAGGAATTTAAATAAATCTTTATCTAATTGTTAGACTACTAAGCTAACCAAGCAGAGACTTCAATAGTTGCACATGACAAAGAATACAATGCAGAATTAGTTTATTAAAGTCACTAAGCAAACAACAACAACAAACAGCAACAACCATAAACCCTGGGAAAAGGAGGAAATCTGATTTCCAGGGTTGCCCCATTATATTGCTTAAAATGTCCAGTTTTCAACAAAAATATACAAGACATGCAAAGAAACAAGAACATATGATCCATATGCAAAGAAAATAAGTAGTCTTTACAAACTGTCCCTGCGGAGTCCAGATGTTGGACTTACTAGTTAAATCAGCTATTTAAAATATGCTCAAAAAACTAAAGGAAACTATGTATAAAGAACTGAAGGAAGGCCGGGCACGGTGGCTCATACCTGTATAATCCCAGCGTTTTGAGAGGCCAAGGCGGGTGGATCACCTGAGGTCAGGAGTTTGAGACCAGCCTGACCATCACAGAGAAATGCCGTCTCTACTAAAAATACAAAATTAGTCAGGTACATGCCTGTAATCCCAGCTACTCGGGAGGCTGAGGCAGGAGAACTGCTTGAACCCAGCAGGCAGAGGTTGCAGTGAACCGAGGTTGAGCCATGGCATTCCAGCTTGGGCAACAACAGCGAAACTCAGTCTCAAAAAAAAAAAAAAAAAAGAACTGAAGGAGGCCAGGTGCAGTCGTTCATGCCTGGAATCCCACTACTTTAGAGGCCAGTGCAAGAGGATCACTTGAACCCAGGAGTTCAAGACCACCCTGGGCAACATAGCAAGACTCTATCTCTTCAAAAACTGTAAAAATTACCTGGGCATGGTGGTGTGTGCCTGTAGTCCCAGTTACTGGGGAGGAGGCCGAGGCAGGAGGATCACTTGAGCCCAGGAGCTGGAGGCTGCACTGAGCTACGATCGCACCACTGCACTCCAGCCTGAAGACTCTGTCTCTAAAAAGTAAATTAAATAAATAAACCTAGAGATGCCATCTGGTGACTCTGTCTCTAAAAAAAAAAAAAAAAGAAAGAAAAAAAGAGCTAAAGGAAAGTATAAGAATGATGTTTCAGTACTTAAGAGAATATCAATAAAGTACAGAAAAGGTCCAGGTATGGCAGCTCATGCCTGCATTCCCAACACTATAAGAGACAGAGGGGGGCAGATCGCTTGAGCCCAGTTAGAGACCAGCCTGGGCAACATGGCGAAACCCCATCCCTACAATAAATATAAACAATTAGCCATGTGCGGTGGCACACACCTGTAGTCTCAGCTATGTGAGAGGCTGAGGTGGGAGGATAGCTTGAGCCCAGGAGGCAGAGGTTGTAGTGAGCCGAGACTGCACCACTGCACTCCGTTCTGGGTGACAGAGTGAGACTCAGTCTCCAAAAAGAAAAGTTCTGATTAAAATGAAAATGATTTGAGCTGGAAGACGGAGAAATCATTAAACCTAAAGACAAGTCAATTGACATTATCCAGCCTGAGAAACAGAAAGAAAACAGAACAGTCTCAAAGATCTGCAGGGTTCCATCAACTACACCAACATATACATAACGGGAGCCTCAGAAGGAAAAGAGAGGGTTAAGAGAACACACTTCTTTGAGAAAACAATAGCCAAAAACTCCCCAAATTTGATGTACACACATCCAAGAAACTCAACAAACTTCCAAGGAGGATAAACTCAAACAGAACCACACATATCATGATAAAACCACTGAAAGACCAAGAAAAAGAGAAAATCTTGAAAGCAAAGAAAATGACTCATCACTTACATAGAACCCTGATACGATTAACATCTGAATTCTCATGAGAAAAATAAAGGCAAGAAGACAGTGAGATAATACACTTTAAAATGCTCAAAGGAAAAAAAATTCCCATCAAGAATCCTATATCCAGCGGGTAGACATGTTGAGAATGGAGCCAGTGTGCTAAGGCGGGGAGAACAACACAGCGAGTTTACCCCGAGACATGCTGGCGTGTGGAATGGGTGTGCTCACCGGACCCACTACTGAACAGGCCACAGAGTCTGGCCCCCTCAAACGGAGCCAGAAAAGGGCGCTTCTGGACCAGCCTGGGTGCACTGCCTGAGCTGCTCCTCTGGGGCCAGGGGTGACTCCCAGAGCCAGGGCCCTGTGTCAGGGGCAGTGGAGTAAACGGGAAAGTGGAATGCATAAGACTAGGTGGGTCCTCCCATAGGACACGGGTGACTGAAGGGGCACAGTACAATAAGATGTAAGAAGTTCTAGACCAGGTCAGGTGCGGTGGCTCATGCCTGTAATCCCAGCACTTCGGGAGGCTGAGCCTGGTGGATCACTTGAGGTCAGGAGTTTGAGACCGCCTGGCCGACATGGCGAAATCCTGCCTCTAATAAAAATACAAAAGTTAGCCAGCTGGGTGTGGTGGTGCACACCTGTAATCCCAGACACTCAGGAGGTTGAGGCATGAGAATCACTTGAACCCGGAGGGCGGGAGGTTGCGGTGAGCCGAGATTGCACCACTGCACTCCATTCTGGGTGACAAAGCGAGTCTCGGTCTCAAAAAAATATAAATGAATGAATGAAGTGCCAGACCAGGAGCCACAGACCGTTTTTGAACCAAACTCTCTCACTACTGGTCATAGGGCTTTGAGAATCACTTAACCTTTCTGACCCTGTTTTTTCATCTTTATAAACATGACACCCAACTTCTTCACATGGTGGTGAAGGGAATCAAATGAAACCATGTATGTGCACGTACCTAGACGATGGGCAAGTGCTAGACCAGCGGTTCCCAAAGTGTAGTCCAAAGACACGTGGGGGGTCCCTAAGACCCTTTGAGAGGGTCTGCTTGGTCCTCCCTTTCCCAACTAATATCTCCATCTGCGTGAGCCCAGAATTCTTTCAAACACTTCCTCCAAAACAGCTGATATGAGACTCCAGTTGTCCTTTATTAAACCAAAGAAATTTTCAATAATATAAAAACCATGAGCCAATTTTCTCACTTTTAATAGATAATTTCATTAGTGTTAATTGTATTAAAAGTTAATGGGTTTGTTATTAAGTGAATATTTTTTAAATTTCTGGTTTAATTCCTCATAACACAAAAACCAATAGATATAAGCAAAGGCTTTGGGGGTCCCCACATTATTTTTAGGCGTGTAAACAAGTCCTGAGACCAAACCTTTTGGGAACAGCTATGTTAAATGAACCGCCGGTGTTTTTCACCAGGCGAGCCGCTTCTCAGAGAAAAAGATTGGGTGTTCACGTTTGCCATTTGCGGGAGGGAGGCAGTTTTGTTTCCTGGGGCCGAGTCCAGGTAACTCGACCGAAGGTGCATACCCATTTTCCGGGTAAAACAAGGGCCCTCCCACAGGGAGGCGAGGGCGGCAGCGACCTTGGACCACCAGGTCGAGCCGGCGCCTGGGAGACGCATGGTGCTCCCGTCCGGCTGTGTTCCCGTGAGGGCGTGGGGAGGCCACGCCCGGCCAGCAGGGCTGCAATGGGAGCCTACCCGCGGCGAGCTGGGCCGGGGCGGCGGGGAACAGGGACCTGCACTCACAGCCTCAACAGCGCCGCAGCCGCCGCTCCGCGCGCCGCCCTCCGCAGCAGAAGTAGCGCCATCTTCCCGACGCGCGCGCCCCGCCCCTTGCCTTAGCCACGCCCACACAACGTCCCACGCCCCCACGGCCACACCCCCGTCCACTCCCGGCCTCGCTTTCTTCGCCCCGCCCCGTCCCGCCAGCCACGCCCTCCTTCCGCCCAACACCTGCCCCGCCCCGCGGCGAGTCCGGAGGTCACCTGCCCGGCTCAGCCAAGGTTCAGGACCTTCGTCCCCGCTGTCATGCGGGGCAGAGTAGAGGATCTGAATGGATGGCTCCTCTTCGAGCGGCCTCTCTGTGACCAAATCCAACTCTCTCCGAGCTTCTGAGGCAACTGTTGACAGACTGCGTTTTCCCAGCCAAAGGGCCAACATTTCTAGAGATTTCTTTGCAGTTTTTGTTGTTAAAATACCGCCTCACACTTTGTGAGCCCCACCATGTGCATATCTTGGTTAGCAATTAATCAAGAGCGGTCAAAGAGAATGCAGGAAGGCTGCATCCTGGAACACACATACCTTCAATAGTTAGAACAGCTGTTGCCACTCTCTGAGCAGGGAAAGTGGTAGCAGCTCTTCACTCTGCCCCCTGCAGTCGTTCCGCAGCAGTGAGAACGCCAAGGCGTTAAAACAGGCCGGACCCTGCCCCTGCCTCTTCCTTCTCCTTCCCTGATCCAGCCGGCGTCCACCTGCCGGCCTCCACCTGCCTGGGCCTATGCTACCCCTAACGAGGTCTTTTCCTTCGCCCTCTGCAGGTTTCTTTTTCAGCTGTGAAAAAGAATGTTCCATGCTCTAGACTTATACCTGAAGCCCTTTCTCAGAACCTTCCAGTGGAAGCTGAATTGTGCTCTTGGATACAAAAAGTGACCATTTAAACAAACAAAAGCCTGTTCAGCCAGAGTGGGTTCCAAGATTTGGAAAAGTAAGGTGACTGGGAAGGTGGGTGCTAAACTTCTGCTGGGACTAAGAAATTGGTAATATTCCATATCAACAGCAGAAACTGCTCAGCCCCTCGGCGCCCTCCCCCAGCTCCTACGCCTTCTCCACCTCAGGCCTCTCCTGTTTACTCCAAATTGGTCACTTTCTTGTCACCACCCTAGTCCCAGCCAGTGCCTGGCCCAGTCATACTGAAGCTTGAGGCAAAGGCAATTTCAGTAACACCAAAACTGTCTTTAATTAAAATTTTGATATTTTGTTCATAATGGGATTTTTCCATTATCTTAGTTTTTCGTTTAGAATATTGTTTTGTTTTTGTTTTGTTTTTGAGACAGAGTCTTCCTCTGTTGCCCAGGCTGGAGAGCAGTGGCACGATCTTGGCTTATACACTGCAACCTCCACCTCCTGGGTTCAAGTGATTCTCATGTCTCAGCATCCCGAGTAGCTGGGACTACAGACAAGTGCCACCACACCTGGCTAAGGTTTTGTATTTTTAGTAGAGACAGGGTTTCACCATGTTGGCCATGCTAGTCTCGAACTCATGGCCTCAAGTGATTCAACCACCTCAGCCTCCTGAAATGTTGGGCTTATAGGCATGAGCCACCACTCTGGGCCAATATTACTTACCTTAATTACTGAGACTGCTTCTTAAATTTTGCACCCAGGCTGGTGCTGCACTCACCTCACTTAAGTCTGATTCTGGCCATCATCATCCTTTACCTAGATTATTTCAAAGCCTCCTTGCTCCCATTCTTCCCTGCTACAATCACTCTTTTGCCATACAGCCCGGCTGACCTTTTAAAAGCATGACACAGCTCCCAGTTCCAGAATTGACTTGCTATGTTTTGATCAAGTTTCTTAAGCTCTCTGTTTCCTCATCTATAAAATGGAGATATAAATAGTACTCACCTCATAGCGTTGTTATAAGGATAGACTGAATTTACACATACAGAGTACACACAGCCTGGGCAACAAGAGCAAGACTCTATCTCAAAAAATATATATATATAAGCAAGTTCTCAGTAGTGTTAACTACTCATTATTATTGTCATTGCATCACTTCCCTTCTTAAAGCCCTTTGGTGGGCCAGGTTCAGTGGCTCACACCTGTAATCCCAGCACTTCGGGAGGCCGAGGCAGGCGGATCACGAGGTCAAGTGATTAAGACCATCCTGGCCAACATGGTGAAACCCTGTGTCTACTAAAAATACAAAAATAGCTGGGCGTGATGGCTCACACCTGTAGTCTCAGCTACTCATGAGGCTGAGGCACGAGAATTGCTTGAACCTGGGAAGGAGAGGTTGCAGTGAGTTAACATCACTGCACTCCAGTCTGGGTGACAGCACGAGACTCCATCTCAAAAAAAAAGCGTATATATATATATATATATATATATATATATATATGATGAAAATGTTCTACCAGCCTCATTACAGTTGAAAGCTGCCATGTAACTAGTTATCCTTATTTAAAATGCCTTGGATCTAAAGTAGGTCCTACTGTGACTTATTTGCTAAATGGGTCAATTTCAGATTCTGCTCGAAGAAATTATAGCTATGCCAATTTTCACCAGCAATGGTATGAGGTTATAGAGTTTCTTCACAAGATTACTGACACATGCATTTTGCTCATCAGTAGGTAGGTTACCAAAAACTGTTTCCTAATGCTAGTACATGTTAAAATAAAGCTTTATTAACTTTACCTAGATAGTATATGGGCGTCTGGAGGACACATGTATTAGTCCGTTTTCACACTGCTATAAATAGCTGACCCAGAATGGATAATTTATAAAAGAAAGAGCTTTCATTGACTCACAGTTCAGCATAGCTGGGGAAGCCACAGGAAACTTACAATCATGATGGAACGTGAAGGGAAATCAAGGCACCTTCTTCACAAGGAAGGGAAATCAAGGCACCTTCTTCACAAGGTGGCAAGAAGGAGAATGAACGCAGGAGGAACTACCATACTCACTGAGTGAGTTCTCAGATCTCGTGAGAACTCACTCACAATCACGAGAACAGCATGGGGGCAACTGCCCCCATGACTCAATGACCTCCACCTGATCTCTCCCTTGATTGGGGGATTATAGGGATTACAATGCAAGATGAGATTTTGATGGGAACAGAGCCAAACCATATTCACATATTCCAGATATAATAGAGAAAGGGATCCAGAGTTCCTCCTTTAGGGCAGTCAAATCTGTCTTCACTCACAGCCTCCAAAACTGAAAAGTACCAATTTTCCAAGGGCATTAGAGAGCACGTGAAATTTAGTAGGGTGAATAATTCTGAGATCCACTATCCTGTTGAGTTGAGCAGTCTGGAGGAATAGGCACTTGGCAGAGACACGGGAAAGAAGGATGGGGTCGGAGCATACTGGGGACAGGGAGCAGCCCCTTATTCCCTAGAGGTCTGATGTTTCTAGCCTACCCATTCCAGGTTCATGGCCGAGGCACCTGTAATAAAATACAAACTAACAAAAGAAAAGCATATGAATGAATTTAATGTAAATTTTACACGACATGGGAGCCTTCCTATAAAAATGAAGATGCAAAGAAAAAGTGACATGTATATTTTTTCATGCTTAGGTTTAATGAGGGGTGGACAGTCACAGAGAAGTGTGATTGGAGGGCAAAAGCATCTGATCTAATGGTGATAACCTGGAAGGAACTTAGCAAGGCCTGTTTGGTCAGGCTGTTTCTGTGTCTTCACAGACAAGGATGTTCCTTTCCTTCACCTAAAGTGGTGGGCACTTATCCAATGAGAATCTTATAACTGCCAGGTGCAGTGGCTCACGCCTGTAATCCCACCACTTTGGGAGGCTGAGCTGGGTGGATCACCTGAGGTCAGGAGTTCAAGACCAGCCTGGCCAACATGGTGAAACCCCGTCTCTACTAAAAATACAAAAAAATCAGCTAGGTGTGGTGGTGTATCTTTGTAATTCCAGCTATTCAGGAGGCTGAGGCAGGAGAATCACTTGAGCCTGGGAGGCAGAGGTTGCAGTGAGCCGAGATCCCACCACTGCACTCCAGCCTGGGTGACAGAGTGACACTCCCTATCAAAATAAAAAAATCTCATAAGCTGCTTCAGGGTAGAAGGACAGGGCAGGAGGAAAATCAGCGAGACCTTCCCGCTTTTGCTGTTTTTCAAATGGCAAGGTGCCATATTTTGAGGAAGTGTGTCTTGAATCCCATCAACCACAATAAAATTAAAAATTTTTTTAATGTTTTGGAGAGATGGAGTTTCACTCTGTCACTGAGGCTGAAGTACAGTGGCATGATCATGGCTCACTGCAGCCTCAAACTCCTGGGTTCCAGCGATCTTCCTGTCTTGAGCTTCCTGAAGAGTTGGGATTATAGGCATGAGCCACTGAGCTTGGCCAAACAATTTTTCCAAGAAACCATCTGTGTAGTATAAGAGATAGACAGATAAATGAGAAAAGGGTGGATTCTGTGGTCCACTGGTGGTCTGGGGGAAGGGGTAAAGAACTGCTGCAATTCCTTCTGCATAAGAGGGTAGGGAACTGGGGGGCCTTGCAGAGCAGGGAATGGAGTCCTGGAATGTGGTGGAGACTGACTCTGAAAGTTTTAGAGGAAGAGTAGAGCAGGCAGACAGAACACAGCTGGGATCTGAGGGATCGTCTGTAAATTACCTGAACACTCAGATCTTACCAATGTGGCTCTCAAATACAGGTTCCCTGAAGAAATGAGTTACATTTTCACTACGTGATCTTATAACTGTGATGATCTTGTAATTGCAATTGTGATAATGAGTCAGGAAATAACTCCCACTGTGTTAGAAATATTTGGGTTTTGTATTGGCTCAGTTTTTGGCAAATAGGCGCACCCAAGGAGACATTGGATGAAAATATCTAATCAACCTACGGTTTACCGTAACATGTAAATGGCTTTCATGTGGCAAGGAGCAGGAACGAATAGGAAAATGAAGTTGCATTCTTCTTTCGTGATCAACACCAAAGGCTCTTTATCAGAAGCCGGTTTTTCCTTCCTTTTGGTGTCTGGCCGATATAGGTTATTTTCACCAAAGTTGAGTCTCAAAGGCTGAGCGGGACCAGTGTCACTGATTTAAGACATCAGAATGCT